CGGGTTGCGACCAATTCGGGTTGCGACCAGAGTCACGGAATGAATTAAGTTCGTAAACCGAGGTTCCGCTGTATTTGCATGTTTCCTAGTAGCAATTGTATTAAAAAATGCATTTAAAAAGTTGGTGAAAATGTAATTTATTTTTTTTTTGCCCTCAGAAACCATTTTCTGATATTGCTCACTGCTATTTAGGGTTTAATCAATAGATTTTTTTTTTTTAAGTTTATATTTAATAGAGTTGTGGGGGATAGCCTGGAAGAAAACTGAATTTTGAATCTCTGATTTCAGCATCAGCATTTACTAAGCCTTAATATCTTGTCAATTAAGCAACGGGAGGGTCAAGGGGCACACTCTTTGGGCTGTGCTTGGGTATTTGTTGGCCTTAATCCAGCCTTGCACACAACACACACATGTGCGGACACACACACACACACACACACCCAACCTCTGCAATAGGAGAAGAATTATAATCTCTACCTTACACCTTGATTTTAAAGATTTTGGGTATTCTCCGAGATGGAAAATACTCAAGGGGGGGAATATTATATATAGATTTCCTCCTCTGCTCTGTGGCACAGTCAGTGGGGTATGCCCACCAAACAAAACATTCAAACAATGACATTAGCGGCTCTTTTTCGAAATCTGGAGTTCCAAAAATAAAGCAGTTGTGAGGCCAGCCCCTTAGTGTAATATAATCAGGGGGTGGGGGAATCAATAAGGTACATCTGTTTTGCTGGTGGAGGAAGGGAACCATGGATCAGGTTGCCCCTGGCTGTTTCTTGTCCCTGGTATCTGTCCTCAACTGCCCCCTCCTTGCCTTGACCCTTTCAGCACCATCTGTCAACCCAGTTGACTTGGCAGATGGGTGTTTTGAGCTGAACATTGGCTGGAAGCAACCCAGCCAGGCCTGGTCTGTCCTCAAGCTGGTCTGGGGGCGCCTGCGTCTGTTTCCTGGATGCTCCTCTTTGCTTGCTAGCCTTGCATGGGGCGGGGGGGGCGAGAGGGGTGTTGATCACAGGGCAAGCCAGCAATGTTGGCCACTCTAAGACACCTCCCGCTTTGAAGCACTTCCTTTTGTAAAAAAATAACTATTAACATTTTAAACAAGAAAGATAAAAACCAACAGAAATGTTGGCCACTCTAAGACACCTCCCGCTTTGAAGCACTTCCTTTTTTAAAAAAATAACTTTATTAACATTTTAAACAAGAAAGATAAAAACCAACAGAAATGTTGGCCACTCTAAGACACCTCCCACTTTGAAGCACTTCCTTTTTTAAAAAAATAACTTTATTAACATTTTAAACAAGAAAGATAAAAACTAATAGAAACTAATATTTAGAAGAAA